GTTATTTTCGATCTCTTTTCTATCCCTCTAACCCACTCCACAAACTCCTACCTCTGACCCTCCCTACCATTCACCACAGCCCCCTAACCTACAAACACCACCCCACCCCCGATTATGGTTTGTAGGGTGGGTTAGAGAAAAAGAGAAATCACTTCGATATCGAACAAAGAATCCAAGATTATCGTAGAATAATGAGAATAAAAAGAATTTGGGTGGTATTTAAAATGTAAAATGTGAGCTTACAAAGGAATTGAGACAAATTCTTCAATAACCTCTGCAACTTGGGAACACTAATACTTTTCTCCTCAGTATCTTCTTCTTCTCTTATTTCTTTTCTGTTTTCTTCCTCCATCCACTCTTGCAATACTCCTGCACACACCAAACCAATACAAAGAAAAAAAAACATTAAGGAAAATGATAACGTAAATAAAAAATCGGTGGGATTTTTATGACATTGGAAACCCATGTTATGACATGACCAAGAAGCAATTCGGTGCTCCGTTCGTAAAATTGACGGTTCCTACCCCCTAACCTCCCGGTAAACCCCACCCCGCCACGACCCGAACACACCCCCACCCCCTTTAATTGCAACCCCCAATTCAAAATTAACTTCGGGGGTGCAATTGAAGGGGGGGTGGGGGTGTGTTCCGGTCGGGGCGGGGTGAGGGGGGAGATTTACCGGGGGTAGGAACTATCAATTTTACGAACGAGACACCAGAGCACCCGGTGTTTTTTGGCAGCCCAAACCGATCTACGAAGAGGGAGGGTGGGGGGTAGGAGGGGGTTGGTAGGGTTAGAAGGGTAGGAATTAATTTACCAACGAAACACCGTAGGTGCCCGGTCATAATAAGACTTGGGATTCACGGGTCAAACAAACCTTGTCGATAAAAATACATATTAAAATATTGGCCCTTCGAGTTTAATATGGCTATGCTAGGGAAGATGGCATGGAAGTTTTTAACTCAACCCGACCTTCTAGTTTCTAAAGTCTTCAAAGCTAAATATTTTCGTGATTGTAGTTTCCTTGAGGCTCAGATTGGCTCCAACTCAAGCTTTGTCTGGAAGAGTATATTTGCAACTAAAGATTTGTTGCATACGGGCATACGTTGGAAGGTTGGGCCGGGCACTAATATTAGCATTTGGGAGGATCCATGGCTGATGGACAATGAAAACCCTTTCATTACTACAGAGAATCCAGGGAGCATTGCGTTAACAAGAGTCAGTGATCTCCGTTCACCTAATGGTTGGGATTGGCCGACTATTGATGCCATCTTTAATGCTAGGGATCGTCAGTGCATTGAAGCTATTCCGTTGACAGGATCATCAAGTAATGATATGTTGATTTGGGCCCATGATAAATCTGGTATTTACACAGTGAAGAGTGCTTACAAGGCATTAACTTGGGATGCTACGGTGTTAGGTCACGGAATGGACCGAGCGCTTTGGAAAAAATTATGGGCGGTTCGAGTTCTTCCTAAGGTACGCAATCTTATTTGGAGGGCAGCTAATAACATTCTTCCTTGTCTTAATAATTTGGTTACAAAAAGGGTGACTGTTCAAGATGTTTGTCCGCTTTGCCACACTTCTGAAGAGACAGTTTTGCATATTTTTGTACATTGCCCATTCGCACGCCAAGTTTGGGGTGCTTCTTTCTTGGGTTGGTATGCTCCAGCTGTGGGATCTTTCCACGACTGGCTTTTAGCTGTCTTGCATTTGTTTAATGAGTACGATAAGGGCTTAGCGTTCCATCTTTTATGGATGATTTGGTCTGCACGTAA